ATATCACGGATTAATCGTCTGGCCACGATTACGCAGTAGCAAAGAATACTTTCACTTTTCTCTGAATCATCCGAATTCTTGAATATGCCGCTCTGCATTAAAATAAAATCAAGCCGCCAATAGCATTAGAGAAAATTTCATGGAATTGTTGAAGCTGATATTACTACATCCCGCCCTTTTTTATTCCCGTCACGCGAACATTAAATAGAAAAACGTCACACAAGACTAGTTTAATGATGATGCAGTTCACAGACCTACATCACTTCCAAAAGAAACTCACGCTTTTACAGTACCGTCAAGTGCTAACCAAGCCTATTAGCCGCTAACTTCTCACGTCAGCACTTGTTCTCAGTTACCCATACACCTTTGCTCCGCATTCAACCCCCCTTTTAAGCAGTGACAACGTAAAATGCAAATTCGACAGTCACCCCAGCAAAGAAAGGCAAGCGCGAATCGAGAGCGAACCATAAGCCGAGATATGACTAACGCTCAGAGCATATGCAATTCTCACGAATAGGAATGGATCTTACATCATGACTCACGTGACCCCCAACGCAGCTCGTCGTGCGCGCGCCTACGCGGTGCAACAGGTGGGCGGCGCTCGGCCAAGAAATGCCCTCCAACGCTTGGCGAAGGTCAAGTCCCGCAGTTTCTTGACCTCGCGACAGATGTGGGTCAGCTGATAGATACCCCGCGCCGCAGCCGTTCGCCGTGACAAAACGAGATTCCTGCGACGTATTTCTGGAGGTACGGTCATTGAGGCTGATATGATCTACGGAATAGTCGCACAGACGGCACTGACACTTTTTCTTCTGACAATTGTTGAAAATATTTTTGAATTAATTTACAACCACAGAAACTGTTTTAAGTAAGATACAAATTTCCTCATCTCGAATCGTCAATAAAAACCACTCAATGGCAACTTGAAATCCAGACTTCACTTAAATTCTAGGCAATTTCCTTTACCCCCCAGTGTGTTATGCAGTTCATTTGCTGATTACCGACTGCCACCCAAAAGGTTGTCCGATTTATTAACTACGTGAACTATTTAGTACAAGAAGTTCACTAACTTATCTTTCCAAAAATGAAGTTGAGAAAATGAGGAATGTTCAACCCAAGAGTGAATAACATTTTTTTTCATTTAACAGCTTTACTAAATTCCATGTGACATCGGCAATGCATCCTACGAAAACTAAAAATAACTGGGTTCCTAGTTATGCTTTAGAGAGATCCTCCACAGCTCGCAGCTGAGCACAAGACAAATGTGGCAACGGTGATACTGCGCGACCTACTTCACTACGTAAGGTAGCGACGAACCGTCCTCGGCCCAGAAGCGCCTACAACGACTAAGATCCCTGTGCCCGATATATCAGGGCCCCTTGCACAATACAGGCCGACGAAATAAATAATACTGTTGTAACAAAATAGACCTCAAAAGACTTTCAAGTCTTTAGTAATAAACAACATTGCAGAATTCTACAGGTGGTATGCACAGGAGAAAATGATAGATTATCAAAATATTTTTGATTGAAAGCTGCACGAATTATTTCGTCGACATTTCAGTCCCATACAAAATGGCGTAACCTGGAATTTAAAAAATCCTCTCAATTTGGAAAACTACAGTAATTTTTCTAAAAATTCACTGACGAAATGTAGGCCTAAAGCAAGATTTTGCCCCGGCATCATGATTTCCTCGGCTGGGAATGGAGTACATACTCAAGACCCCATTAATAGAAATGTCACGCAATCAGGGTAATTAATTACAAATGCTGTATTTTCCGTACGATTTCCGATAAAGTTCAACAAAATGCTCAAGTAGGCACAACAAACCAACTTAAATTAAAGTAAATCGAATTATTATGAATAAATTTGAGATATTCAGGGCTTTTGCGTCCACCACTTATTCAAAATAAAAATAAAAGCGCCTACAAATCCATTGAAGAACCTATGAAAGTAAATCCTCCGCTTCTGGAAAAAAATCTCATGTTACGCACTCGCGACGTGAACAGCTGTGAAGTGTAAGCAAAGTAGATCTGCACGTGGAGATAATCCAACGGCATCACGACAGGGAAGCGAGTTGGAAAGCCACTCCGACAAGAGAGGGCAGGAGAAGTTCGCCGATGAGTGCGTTTTTTCTGACTGTGCCCGCACGCGACGCGATTTCTGGCGAGAACGCGCGGCGAGACGCGGAACAGCGACAAGGACGCCTGGCGCCGGGTGATTGGCAGGAAAGCCACGCGAACTCCCCACAGAGTAATCGGCTGACCGTAGAAAGTGAAAACCCGCCCATTCCTCGTACTTTCCTGGCGATTCACGTTCTATCTCCCGGATGTCGTCTAGGCCCTCGCCTCCCCAGACGCGTTGCATGCAGCCGTCGGAGACGTCTTTCATCTAGATAATGCGCACAATTCAGTTGTTTATCACCCACTTCGTGAGACTGCTGTAAATGTACCCTTTCTCACATTTGCGAAAGAAAGTACCCGGGGGACGTCATCAAACCCACGCTAAAAAAAAGTCGCATTCCATGGCGAACCCGTGACGTAGTAAACGCGTTTCTCGCGGAGTCACCAAAGGAGTACGTCATCGGAGGCGTCATCCACGCAGAGAACGAACGATTCATACTTCCACTCATTCGCCTTTACCTTGCGTGGCGATCATAGACGACCTTGCCTTTCCAGACACCCTTCACTAATTCCGTCGTACGCTTTTCATGAACTACACTATCGCTACCTCAAACTAAAGGGTTACTGCAATATACTGAAGAATTTCAACAAGTAATCTGGTGAGTTAACATGCGTTCAAAACAATTCCCCATTTCCATTCACACCAACACCATTTCATTGCATTCACTAGAACAATAAGATCCCAAATTACAGAGACCCGCATCAGCGACATGAAAAAAGTGGTAAAAAGCGTGATTGCTAGCATCTCCACCTTATGAACACAAGTTCCCCGGGATCCCCTACCGAGAGCTCGTCTAGGGGCGGCACGCACACAACTGGCTTCGCACACACCATCACCCCGGGTCAACACGATGAATTAATTAGTCATTCGCAAACAAACCCATTGCGGGCCAGACGGCGGAGGCAGCGGAGCGGGTGCTCGCGCGCGCGAGGCGTTTGCCGCGCCGCCCACGGCCTCCGCGCGGCGCGACGCGACGCGACGCCCCGAGTGAGTCATTTGTCCTGCGGGTGCCCGCGCGGCCTCCGCCACCCGCGCTCCGGCCACGCCTCTTCCGCCGCCACCCGCCGCTCATCCTCCACGCCCCGCGCTCGCCGTCCGCTCGTATTAGATGATTTGCCAACACGCAGGCGTTGCCAACGGATCCGCGCCCGTTGACATCATCGTGCGATACTCGCACACTGCACGAGCCCGCAGCGGCAACAAGTCTCCTTTGGAGAAAGGCTGGGTCAGGGCGGGCGGGGCGGGGCGGGACCATCTGGCGCAGGCAGCCACGTGCGTCACCGACGCACATGCGCCACACGGAGACCAAATGCAATGCAGAGGGCGGGGACTGGCTCAGATTGCGAATGAGGTGACGGCGTAGAGTAAAAGAAAAGAGGTAAACGGACGAAGAAGTGGGAGGAAAGGAGCACTACACACCAACTGCTTGAAAGGTCTCGGAGCAAGGACCTGCATGGAGCAAAAAACAGCATAAATGGAACAAAAAAATACTGGCGTTATTAAGAGAGAATTGAACTAACGAGATAAAAAGCAAGTGAAAACCGAAATTAAATGACCGACAAAAAACGCGAGGCCAAGAAAATTATATATCATTGGTCTAAACACGCACGTCTCTGGTCTTCACTAAGCTTTCGATTTTATTCCTTCAGGTTCCTGAACACCACCTAAGCGTAAATGCTCTCCCAAGTAACGAACGCAGTGACCGCATCATTCGAGGAAACTCCGATCAAACGCGACAGACGCCGCAGGCAGCGAGAGGCGCAAGGGCAAAAGGTCGCCGGACGGACGTCTGGGTGGGTGGGGGTGGGGGGTGGGGGGCTAGAGACGTCCAGCCAGCCACCCGCAACCCCATTGACGCGCGCGCCGCGGTCTATATAAAGCGCCATCCGCCGCTCGCGGTCCAGCAGCGCCGCCGGCCGGCCCGTCCACGCGGGGGCGGAACACCTCCTCCTCCCTCCCCCAGCGACCGCAGAGAGAGAACTGGTCAAAAATACGCGCGCCCTGGGAAAACCCCCGAGCAGACCTCGCGCAGTGCGCGCGCCCTCTAGGAACGGGCCACGAAATCGCTCTCGCGAGACAGTCGTTCCGCGATTGATAATAAACATTTGGCGGCGTGACCTACAACCTCGCGCGCTGTGGACGTACTGCTTTCTTAGGGGTCCATTCACCAACACAGCGGGTCCGGAGCAAGGCCTTGCGGACCATTCGTTAATAACAATCTGAGTCGTGCTTTTACTCTCGGTTCATTAGGCATAATTTTTCGTTTTTCAGTACACTTTAGACTTATTGCCCACCGTTTTTAAGTGATGCACACTATCTTTCTGACGAATTTTAGACAGCACAGTAGTCAGTACAATCCGTAGTACGGGATTTGAAAACTAAGCGCCCAGTAATGGACGTAGGTTGTACGACACTGCCTGCAATGTTCATCCAATAAATGCAAAGGTTATAGTCTGCTATGCAATCTATTTTTGTAACAGTTCGTGAAGAGCATTTCTAGTAAAACTTCCACTAAGAATACTTATAAAAGATCTCGGGAGAGTTTTTACAAACAATTAAACCTTCTAGTACAGAACAGGGATACTGAAAGCTGGAACTGGCACTGAAAGCTGGGATTAAACCCATGGAAAAAGCACACAACCCATGCAATACTGACTGAAGTCGCATGCTAGCAGTCAACACGAATGTCAGCAACCCAAGCACCAGCCCAAGAACGGGAAAGGTTCGCAATCAGAGGAAGCCGTTTGAAGGAATGAAGCGAAGGGGACTGAAAAGCAGAGACAAAGAATCTTCTTAAGTAGGACACGAGGGCCTACCTTCTTGTAGAGTTTGATCCAGGTGAGATCGCCCTTGCTGTCTGTGTACTGCAGGCCGAAGAACCACACCTCCCGAAGGCCGATGGTCTTCACCACTTGGTCGAAGAGTTGCTTGCCGGTCGTCGTCTGCTGGATGGAGAACTCCAGCTCCGCGTCCATCGTCGTCACGCGCACGTTCATCTGCGAAAAGACCAAAAGAAAATGAGAACCACAAAATAGTTGCAATCAATGCTATTTTGAAAGGCGTATGTGGGAATGCCTTCCCAAAATCTCAACACTTAAATACTACTACAACGAATATTCTAAAGATGCAAAGGTCCTAGACAATTTAGACATTCTTAAACAATCTTTGGAAGGTGTGTAACTAACAACACTAAATTCCCAATAATTCACAAGTCACTGTCAACGGCAATCGACAGTGCTCGAAAAAGCGATGCCAGCCGACAGCGATGCTACAATATTTAAAGAAAAAAAATCAAAAAGACGTATCTGCTTGTTCTTCGCTCCTCGTTAAAAGTGCGATCGCTTCAACCACCCGCGAATTTGGAATTAAGATGTTATGCTAAAGGGAAGTCCGACATCTTGTCAAAATTACAATTCACAATATTCTATCGTTTCTCTCAATTATGCCGCAAACAAAATATACTACGGTAATATTTAAAACTAATTACCAAAATTGTTTTGAAATTATTCAGCCAATACATTCGCACAAAATTTCAACATCCTCATAAATCACGTTCAGTAATTTTATGAAACTACGTGTAAGGTCAATTCCGATTCCGTCTGGGTATGCCTCAACACAGACTTAGTCGTAGCTGTCATTTCTCAATACCTATTGTGCCTTTTCTCCCGAAGATTAACATACAAATGTGTGATGACAAAATAGAGAGAAGGTTCCTGCTTTGAGAAGCAAACAGGAATGAATATTTCGTGACAGTGTGTCACAACAAGTATTTCTCAGTGTGTAATCTTCGGGATGATGAAATTGAACGCTAAGTAGTTACTTGACACTTGCGTAGAGTTCTAAATTTTGGTTTGATATTTTTCTTGATAAAGCAACATGCCTTTTCTTTATGATCACTTCGTCCTTATACGGCAGTTTATGAAGTAGCAAGATCATTCAGAAAGTTGTGTAATAATCGCTAAGTATTTGTGAAACCATTAAAAAATGACATTTCTGGGATTTTCCACATTTGCAGTGACAACGTGAATAGGATCCATAAATGTTTTAGTAACATTCAAAATGCACATAGGCCCGCATTCAGATTTACCTTGAGCTGGAATTACACATCATTACACAATTGATGAGGTCAAATGGAGCGTTGCTTTACATGATACTTTTAGAAAGCCTATAAACCCCACGATTGTCAGGACCCCCACAAGACATTGGCTCATTGCACTGTAGTAGAACTATAAACGCAACGCCATCGCCATGAATCCTAATGTAATTTCCCAAAAGTTTCTAAATTAAATTAACTCTTGTGTTTCCAATATGCATCTCGGGATACTTAACAGGCATAATGGAGAAAATCTCAAAATCTGACGAATCTTTTGTAATGACAAGGTCATTGCCTCGGCCTCTCCACCTACACGTGCCTCCCTCATTGTTCTACCAGAACGCCAACCACCCGGCCTTGTCGGCGACGCGTCGTAGGTGGCCACGACCGGAATACGCTTGGGCCAACGAGCCCCCCCTCCCCCCTCGTCACTGGCACATCCAGTTGACCCGAAAAAAGAAATAGCTACAACAGCTGCGGGTCTGGGCTGGAGAGAACGTGGGTGCAGCGTCATCTGAATAGTGAAGAGACGGATCTTAGCCCAGGTCAGGATGCATGACCAGTCCTACAGGCTAGATTAATGGCCCTCGCTCTCTTTTAGATCATACCAGTCTTATTTTATGCGCCTTTTAATTTTAAATAATGCATAAAATTAAAATGTAATTACACCAAAATGGTAAAATTTCGTGAACTCTAAACATGAATTAACTAAAATCTTTAGAGCGGTAAATTCCACTGTTCACAAAAACCTAAGGACGACGAAGTAGGAGGCAGGACCTTACAATACTCAATGAGAATACCAGTTGGAGTTGAGAACCGAGAAAAATATACATCCAGAAATCCAAGAAACTCTATACGATAGTTTTTTCTCGTGATTTATTGTTAACAAATGCGATAATAAACTAGTAAAAGACTTACTAAAATACTAGAGATTTTAGTAATTAGAATCTATCATATTCTCAGAAGTAGAAAAAGTCTCGGGCGTAGTTCTATCACATCTTTTTCTTAAACGCGTAAAGCTTTTACGCCTGCAATGTTGACCATTACAGTGCAATCTGTGGCAGGTGGCACTCAGAGAGAAAAGGTTGACGTAACACGACCGAAAAAGCTTTATGCGTTATTAAAAGGCTATAATAGCATTATGCCAAAGATTTCATTTTCTCTTAATGAAAATTCACCTTTTACAGGAAAACCAAAGACTAAGATTGCAATTGTTATGGAGGTATTTATTTGTACGAGTCTGACTGTTTATGTAAGTAACTTACCATTCACTGCAAACACTAGTTTTCATGCGAATCTATTTAATTCGTTTTAGGCAAAGAATAGTAATTTTTTATATACTTTATATGTGAAAATAAAATATCTGACTTTTTATACAAGACATGTTTCCTAAGCTTTCATGTTGTGCCACGAGAAAAGCGACTAGATCTTTACAGTACCGGGAAACTTCGGGAAAGAACTTTAGACGTTACCAACGAAGCGAAATTAACTTTACTAAGAATCCTTGTCAAGCTGTCACCGACAGCAGCACAACTTTCAAAACTTCTCCAAGAGTAAACATAAATCAAAATCAAGCGACTAGCGAGTGACGTTCAAGCACGAGCGCACGATTTTCAGATTGCGCTCTTCGGCTTTCAAGTTTGAAATTGGAGTAACATTTTCTTTCCTAAATTAAATTAACAACGTAGACATTTGGTTGAAAAACTAATAACGTAGTTTCTTATTGTGTAATTTAAACTAGGTTGTATATTTGCCTCCATTTTCATACAGCAACCCTGTAACCTGCACGCGTCCGTGTGACCATAGGCAACGGAAAAGCGTTTTGACTGATTTACGACCCTACGGAAGAGAACAATAGCTCTCTTGATTCCTCGTAACAAGGCACGCGGATTGGCATTGTTTCTGTCCAGATTCTTTTAGTACATTCGGGGAAAAAACACCGGTTTTTTCGGGTTTCAAGGCACTCAAGAGTGGTGAAACGCTGTGAATTACTATAATTATTGCCTTTCCGGCTTAATGTGAATCCTTAAGTCATGATTTATAAGACATAATATAACATTTAATTATGTAAGGAAACTTTTTTTTAAAAAAAGTACTTGTCATTGATTTACCGCATCATTACTACTAACATTGCAGTATATTACGTCTTTGAATATTTTCAAAAGCAAAGTGATTTGATTACTAGTACGTGATTATTATGACATAAGTTGGCTAACCCGAAGGTTCCGATTAAATCTGCATTAACTGTACGTTTTTTGTCTGCATAATATATTTTTGGAGCTTTTGTGCTCATCTCCTGAATTTGTTAGTGTGTATTCGCTAAGAAGGCTATCTATTAGATGTTGGGCACTTTTGAACATAATAGTATTCGTATTAAGTACTAAAACTTATTTGCTAGACCAATGACGAAATCTAACAATTCATGGGCGTTCGTGATGTTTATTACTCACAGAAACAGCATAATCCCTACACGAATAAAATGAACAAGAAGCCTGCCTCGCGTTCTCCTTCGACTGTCAACCTTTGAGCATTTCCTTCGAAACCTCCACCGCCATGCCAAGAGCGCCCACGCGGATCACAATCCCGCTCTGATGACAGCTAAATGTGATGGACGTGGATCACTCGGAAGGAAATGGTCCATCATCAGTGTTACCCCGTTGGAAAATTATAGTTTTGTAGGATAATTTTGTTACGTGAAACGTACGACAAACATAATTATATAGGATAACATCAACTATTAGGAGGAAATTATACTATAATATAAATCCATAAGGATGGCACGGTATAACTGGAATAGGATCTAGTAAATGTATAAATTTTCATTCTTAAGCCGCCTGAACAAGTGTCCTGGGAGCGTTTCGATTCCATTCTCGAACACCTAATAATGGAGTGAGTAGTGGCCATAGCCCGAAGGAACATCCGGCAACAGCTACAATTACACATTTTTATGTAATTTGTTTACTTCCTTCTTGTCTATTAATTTACACATTCTACGCGAGGTTGAAAACTATACGTTTAAATTATATTTTTATTTAGTTGTTACATAATCGAAATTTTCAGCATATGAAACTATTTTTAGAACTGCTTAAAGCACCAGCACTCCCCATTCAGCTTGTTTCTAATAATTCGAGATATCTGCATGATTCGGATTTTTTTCTTTTGATTTTACAAACGAATTTCTCGAACTTGACAATCTGCAAAAAACCGCGAGGGGTAGGCGAGCTGCCAATGAAGCTACGGGGCGGGGCGAGGGAGATGAGGCAACCTCACCACAGTGCAAAAAGCGCCCAAGCGCAGCGCGTCCACCCCCGCGGTAGCCTCCGCCGCGGTAGCCGGCGCACCGTCCAAGGCCCCCGACTAGTTCCCGCGGGAAAAAGACAGCAGGCAGGCACGTAACGAGGTTTCGCCTTGGAGGACTAGTCGGAAATTTCATCAAGTTCTTCATCACAAACGAAGGGCACCGTGATGACGGTCCCGGCCGGGCACTATACCGAAGCGCTCTTTACATTGACCTCAATACGATTCGGCACGAGTGTTGGGAAATCAATGAATACTGACGTCCATCATCGATATTTTAATTTCGAAGTCCATTCTTCCAAATGAACGTCTAGAGAGAAAATATTGAGATTCGTAATTAATGTACAAATAGAATCTTAAGTGTAAATTAATAAATACTTTCACTACGTGGAAATAAAACTGGCGTTTGTACTTCTAACCCGTAATACACGCATTGAATAAATGACAACATACTTCAATATCATAATTATATTACGAAAAACCACAAACATCTGTGAGCTAATTACGACACAGCACATCTACCATGAATCCTATTTTTTATCTTCCAGTAAGTTTGTTCGTCTGATTAATGAATGAGGAGATGGATGATTGGCACAGGCGTTACTA